AAGATAGGTTCCAGTCTATGCTTGGCTAAGTTACCTAAGCTTCAAAGCTTCAGAAAGCGACCATTTTGCAATGGTGGCTGTAACACGCTGTCAAAGATCGGTTTTTATCTAGTTTTTCATTCATCTTTGTTGCTTAGATTTCACATGCTGGCTTTCCTACAGTTGGCTTGTCTTCTAAGTGCAGATTACAGCATGGAGTTGTGCTCTCACAGGCCAACATTTCATGGTCTGGACCTTTAGTGCAGGTCATGCCACATTGAAACTTAGGAGTCATTATTGACTCTCTTAGCAGTCACATTTCACATAAGTCATTTACTGGAACATTTTATCCTGAATTTCTGTTTATACCACATGCTCAGTGAGAAAATTACTTAACCAGTCTTTTTAGTACATGCAAAGACAAAATTTTGGTTAAACTGCAAAATACCTTACCATCCATGGCATTACATGTCATTGAATATGAATAGAATAAACCATTTTTAGCCAGTAGTGAAAATAAGCCTTTTTTGTTGCCATTAGAAAATCAAACACTGCTGTCGTCTGGAAATTCAATTTGACGGCCTCTTTAAATGAAATTATACTTTCATGTTTACATAGCTAAACTAATAAAAGTCACAAACATCTAACGCCTCACCTGAAACTGCAGTTTGTCGCTAACAAGGTGCTAAATGTCTATTGTGATTGTTTCCAAACTTTGGGGAGTAATCCATTGAAACTCAGTAACAAAGTGGTTTTGCTTTTATTAAAATATGAATAGAAGCCTAGTGCTTTAATGTTAACTGAAATGTGATTAGTGTTATGTTTTCCAAGTTATGGCCAGAATTATTCAAACCTTAACGTCTCATGACCTCCTTCAAGCTTGGCAGTCTTCTAGATTCTCTTCATACTTCAAAAAAATTACACTTTTTTGATTGGCTGAAAATAGCTAGGTGGCTTTTTCATTTATCATTAGTGAAAAAGTAATAACTCATGTACAAAATAATATAGACTAGGCTCAGCAACAATAGATCACATTAGAAACCAATCAGATTTACACAAAGCAGGTTCTGATTGATACATGCAGTAGCTGACAAAAATAAACAAAAGCTTGAATACTTCTATGTATATTGATAAACACTAAAAAATTGCATTCCTGCGTAAGAATTCAGCTGAAGGACAAATTTTGATGGCACACACTTCATTTAGTCAATACTGTCAAATTTATCTGCCATCAGTTTATTGATTTCCTGTGAATGTGTATCTTTCATGTATACGTTATGAATAATTAATAACATGATTTCTCATATGATAAGCACCTGTAAATTTTTCAAATACTTTAAACTGCACACACACTATGAGCTCAACATTTGTTATTTGTGAAAAAGTTACTTCTGCTTATTTAGAATACCAAAGTACACTTGAATTAACTTAGCTTAGACTTTGTTGAGCTTTCATGAAGACAGTTTAATGGAACTGACATTTGTTACGTTTATAGTTAAAAGTTAGAGCTACTTGATGTGGATTAGATAACCATCAGGTATCCTCGGAGACCCAGGGTTCTAATCACATCTGTAGACCACTTAAAAACACAGTCTTAACAGATCAGTTCCAAACTGTCACGGTCATTCTGAATTTTGATTGGTACCAAAACCTCAATCTTGTTCTGGCAAATGAGAGAGAAGCAGGTCTCACAAGTCCTCTTGTATGCTCTAACACAAAGTGATACATGAAATTCAGTTGCTTACCATATTTGTTTTGGACCTTTTTGTATGGTAGATTAGCACTTTGCATGATGATGTGAAGTCGACCATTTGCATGATGATATCAAGTTCACCCATTCATTTCTTCACATGACTTGAATTTGGTAGACTCACTGGCATGAAATTACAATTTCAATAATAAGGAAACTTAAAAGCTTTTGGTAGTTGAAATCATATGATACCATCATGAACTTGCCTGTACATTGAACTCTGCTGTGTTTAAGTTATGTCTCTGATTACTGTTCCTGAAATCTATTATGGTGACACTCTATCTCTATTGAACTTTCTGTTAAATAAAACCTCCAGGTCAAATTGTAAATCTTATTGGGTTAAAAATTATTAGCAACGTTAATGTAATGTTACTTCAGAGTACTTAACTCAACATATGATTCATTAAAGTATTGCTTGTGCTCTGATCGTGTAATGCACCTATCTTTTTTCCCTAGACTCTTCCATTTGCAACCTCATATCTACCTACCTGAACTAAATTTTTCTGTGTTCTTTATTGAAAATGCAGTCCCACAAAACCTAAATAAAATAATTATAATAAACGTTTTGCTCGCAACCAACTGAAAGTTGAACTTTATGCCCTAATGGACAAAAGAAACCTACACTCAGCATTGTGTTACTTTACATGTGTGTATTGTCCAAAATTAGTCATACATTCAAACCAAATCAAGCTCCCAATGGCTTCTAGTGTAGATTACATCATTTCCCGAATGTCCCTGCCCCTCTCCAAAGTTTTGTCCTTGTGTACTGGTACACAAAATGTCAAAAATATTCATATGAAATTCTTCCCTAGAGTTCATTTTACATCACTTGCCTTGGAAAAGACAATCAACCTACAAACTTCAGAAGTGAATTCCACTTCGTTACGTAAACAGAATCATGACTGAATCTATCAGACCACTATTGGAGATTATGCTGATGTTTTTCAGTTCCTTAAATCCTCGGGTCACATGTGCAACCTTTGTTGTCAAAATGAGACCTCCATAACAAAGTTTGGCCAATAACTCTCATCTTTAGAATGAACATTTCAGGACTTTTGTATGCTAGTTATCTTGTGTTATTGATGAACAGGATCAATATTGAAAACTATCTAATGGTAATTAGATATTAGCTCTTCTGAGAGAAACCCAATGAGACACCAGACACTAAAAAGCAGCTCAATTTCGTAAGCGACACATGTACGCATTGCGGACCTATTTTCTTATAGAGCGGCCAAAGCTGGTGCAAGAACAGCCATAGGAGCACATGCTGTTGAAATGGAGACAACGCCATTTCGTCAGATTTCTACCCCTAATAGGAAACCCTTTTCTAGTCCCTGTTGGACTCCAGCAACTTCTGAAGCAACTTTCCGTCAGATCCCCGAGACAGAGATTCTCGGTACTTACAATGTTGTGATGGACAAGGTTGCCAGAAATATTCCTCGCGAGCGACAGCCACTACCATCACAGCTTGTGTCGTGGGAAGAAAGCGGTTGAAGACTGTATGCTCGTATGTAATGTGATAGCCCCAAACGACAGCAAGACGCTCTTTCACGCCTTGGCTTCTCCAGGTGGAGAAAAGGATGAGACAGCAGAAGCTGATGATTTGTTGAAATCTTTGATGACCACTTACAAAAACTCCAAAACCAAAAGCATAAAGACGCAAATTCTTAGGCGTATAAGTACTCGTTCAGCACATGAAAAGAACTTCACTCGCCATATGGAAAGTTGTCTACACTACAGATACAGAGAGCGCGGTGTCATGCAAGAACGATAGGTCCCGGTCAAGTGCCTGAGGAGAAGGTACATCAACGTGTTCGCATTGCTATGACCAAAGTCGATCATTTCGTAGAGTTCATTTTAATCGTAGTGAAAAACACTACTTAAAGACCAATTATCGCGTTCACTGCAATCCAGAGGAAGCTTTATGTCCTGATCATTGCCGCAAGTTCGCTTTAAGTGACGAACAAGACCCCGACTTCCAGGAGAAATGCTCCCATCAACACAAAGAAAACTGTAACGAGTGTCAAAATCTGCGAAATGTCCAAGATGAAGTCGAAGACAAAGTTCAAGGTCAATTTTGGATCCCTTACGGCAGTGAACATCGAGACAATCTGCTATACGACTTCAAACTGGCACAGATATTTTCGAGTGGAAGGCTCATATTGTTCGCTCTGTAAACCAGGAAGCAGCAAAGCAAGATCAGCTGAAGACGATAAGTACTAATCAGAACTGTGCAATGGTAATAATTGACTGGGCAATGAAATTCCTTCAGTTTAAATATCTTGAGAAGCACTCTGATTAGTTTGGCAAGAGAGCTTTGAGTTGGCGAATCTCGACGGTGATCACACGTGATGCGAACCTTGAAGGAAGACTAGAACTGCGGTCGTATGCCCATCTGTTTGACGCGTGCCAGCAGGACTGGTTTGCCGTGTTTTCCATCATAGAAAGCACACTGAGAGAAATTAAGACCGAAAAGCCTCACATCACCTGGGTTTATCTGCGGTCAGATGAAGCTGGCTGTTATCATACTAACTCCCTCATTGCAGCAGCAAGAGGAATTGGTAAGCGGGTTGGTTTAGAAGTTTGTCGGTACGACTTTTCAGAGCCACAATATGGCAAGGATGTATGTGATAGAATTCTGTGTCCGATGAAAACATGCATCCGACGTTTCCGCAACGAAGGACACGACATTCTATCAGCGGGAGACATGAGGATGGCACTTTCTGAAAGACCAGTGAAAGGTACATCCGCATGCGTTTGCGAAGTTGACGAGGCGAAGATAGCCCTAGAAGTGAATAAGATAGATGTTTTTAGCAAGCTTCACAATATCCAGTTTGAGGAGAAAGGTATTCGTGTGTGGAGGTCATACCGAATAGGGTGTGGCAAGGAAATCTCTTTTGACCAGCTGGTGTTAAAGGGCCAAGGGGACACTGGTATCATTGTTAGCGAAAAATTTTTCCCTCTTCATGATGCACGTGTTTATCAATGCTCAGATCCTGTGACAAAGAGTGGAGAAGAAGAGAATGACTAGGACGATTCGAATATGAGCATGCGTGAAGAGTTTCCAAACATTTTCAGAGCTCGAGTCACATTTGGACGTAGGGGATCATTGTGTCAAAGATGAAAGGCCGTCAGAAACGCTTATGATAAGCTTCATAAAGATTGGGCAGACAGGTTTACGACATTAGTCAACGTCACTGAAAATGAACCGTCTGAACCTAATATCCATCAAAGTGAAAATGCCTCAATACCCGCGTTGCACACTGTCATT